ACAGGAGATATTTTAGATAACATATAAGGGTATTACTAAGAACATTCTGAGCAAATAATGTCTTACTCATCATGCAGATGTCGATAGAAGACAGTTTGCATATTTTTAACGTGGGAAGAAAATTGAAAAAAATTTCAGGAGCAATTTTTTCCAAACATAAATGCTTATAATCATTAGCAGCGATATTAAACTACTCTCATTCATGAATGATGAATAGAATTTGCATTTGCAAACGATTAATTTGATTATACCTCCGGGAAATACTGTACATTCAAAATGTCGCTTTGAATCAATATGGATTTAAGTGAAAACAATTTAAGTCAATTTATGCTGCTTAATCATTTCGTTTGAAATAATATTCATAAATATCTTTATTTTTAAATGTATTATCTTGTTATTTTGAATCAATATGAATTTAACTGAATTAATTTATTTTGAGTTAATAGATACGTAAGGCAGGATGGCTGGACGGTTAAAGTGTCAGCTTACCACTCTGAGGGACCCAAGATCGATTCGGGCGTAATTCCTGGGGTCCAAAGCATCCCGAAAAGCGCCTCTAAAAATTCTTAGTGAAGCATCTGGCCCCAGGAATTTTTTGGGGGTAATTTGTTTCGGATATTTTGGGTCTCGTCTCTCACTATCCGGCCGCTTCCATTGTGGGCTTGGTGGAGTCTACGATGGGCAAGATAAGGGTCCTTTTAGTGCCCACTGAGTTAAAAATAAATACATTTATAGAGATTTGTATATATATATTTATACAAATATTTTTTCTTATTTTATAAATTTTTATACCTTTCAGATACTTAGAGTCCTCCCTGAAGGCATCCCTTTCGGCGTTGCCGTATACAAATAACCCAGTCCAATCCAGATAATTAAAAAATAAATGTTTAAATTTAATTTTATGTCTAAATATATTGGACTGAACTATAGGAGATAAGGCAACGCAACACTTGGGAGATCTCCTGTGGGAAACTGATCCAATTTAGGTGTTAGGTACATGTAGAAAACTCGGAAAATTCCACGCGAAAATTTAGTGTTTAATGATTTTATCAGGCCAGAGCCCTATTAACACTTGGCTGGGCCCCTCGGTTTTCTGATATTTCGAGCCCCTCTGGCACTTCAATCTTTCACCCCACTATAGCTGATAGCCTGACCATAGTAGTAGTGCAGAGCCCTATTTTTTTATATTTTGTAAACGGTATCAGTTCTTTTTTTACATTTTCCAGGGCCATAGGCACGTGTCTAGAATGACTAATGATTAAAATGACCGTGCACTCGACCAATGGTGGGCTATCTAAATGTGTAAGGTTAGATGATAATGCAAAACAATAATAATAAAACATCACAACGATACATAAGCTAAGTATAAAATATTAAGGATTCATAAAATATCTTTGTTCAAATCTTCTTATATAATAAAATCCTGAAGCGAAAATAATGAATAAATTTAAAAACAAAAATTAAAATTTTTTTAAAATTAATTCGCAAATAAATTGGGAAATAAATAAAATGCTCATTAGAATTACATTAACACCTTTGAATACTTAAACCTAATTAATCAAGTTATTTTCGGGATAATTAAGCTTTAATTAATTAAAATTCAGTTGTTGCTTATATTACATATCTATGAATATATTTAAATATAAATTAATTAAACTGTATGTTGAAAAAAGGGATGTAAAATACTCAGAACTTGAGAAAAATAAAACATTGAGGCCTGGCCCAAACTATTCATAAATGTTTGAGTTTTGTTTATTTGTAAATGGCAACGCGATATGCCGAGAGATATGTCTCCCAGGAAGTCTTTTATGGAAAACTGGCCCTTATTTAAACGTTACTAAGGTGAAGAAATTCAGACAACTACACATGGCTAGTCAGTTGGAGAGGCGCGAATCCACTACCAACTATCAGTTTTCAGTGGTTTTATCCACTTCGCCATTGGAGGGCCTACATTTGGAAAGCTTTAAAAATACACGAATTAAATCTATAATTTAAAAAGAATTGCCGCGTATTGAAAGAAATAGTATCCTAATTTGGTATCGTGTGTTTCAGATGAAAGACAAAATTAAGAGCACTATTTCGTGTTGCGCCTGAATGAAATGGCCCCCTGCCTCCTCTTCTGTCAGGGGAAAAATAACTAATTTTAATTCGTTTAACCAATGCACAGGAGATATTTTAGATAACATATAAGGGTATTACTAAGAACATTCTGAGCAAATAATGTCTTACTCATCATGCAGATGTCGATAGAAGACAGTTTGCATATTTTTAACGTGGGAAGAAAATTGAAAAAAATTTCAGGAGCAATTTTTTCCAAACATAAATGCTTATAATCATTAGCAGAGATATTAAACTACTCTCATTCATGAATGATGAATAGAATTTGCATTTGCAAACGATTAATTTGATTATACCTCCGGGAAATACTGTACATTCAAAATGTCGCTTTGAATCAATATGGATTTAAGTGAAAACAATTTAAGTCAATTTATGCTGCTTAATCATTTCGTTTGAAATAATATTCATAAATATCTTTATTTTTAAATGTATTATCTTGTTATTTTGAATCAATATGAATTTAACTGAATTAATTTATTTTGAGTTAATAGATACGTAAGGCAGGATGGCTGGACGGTTAAAGTGTCAGCTTACCACTCTGAGGGACCCAAGATCGATTCGGGCGTAATTCCTGGGGTCCAAAGCATCCCGAAAAGCGCCTCTAAAAATTCTTAGTGAAGCATCTGGCCCCAGGAATTTTTTGGGGGTAATTTGTTTCGGATATTTTGGGTCTCGTCTCTCACTATCCGGCCGCTTCCATTGTGGGCTTGGTGGAGTCTACGATGGGCAAGATAAGGGTCCTTTTAGTGCCCACTGAGTTAAAAATAAATACATTTATAGAGATTTGTATATATATATGCAAATCTCTATAAATTAAACTTTATAAAAACTTTTAACTCGTTAGAAGTTCAATATTTCTTTAAAAATATTTGAAATTTAATTTTTATAACATTTTTTGATAAATTATAATGCATCTATTTTTTCGGAAGATAATTTTAAATGCGTTTATAAAATTCCGTGTTGTTTAAAAATGAATGAAGCCTTGACATTTTATTAATGTATAAATTGAATAAAATTTTATTTAGGATAAATTTAGTTATGCTTTAGAAATTTATTAGACCTAGATATAATAATAAAATTTCAGATAGGATTTAAAATATATATTTAATTTAATGTAAATTTTAAAATATTCTACATTATTTATAACATAAAATAATTTATGATATTTTACACAGAGTGGCCCAAAATCAGATAAACAAGACATATTTAAAAAAAAAAAAAAGGTTAGAATTATTGCATGCTATTATTCGTAACCCAGTTTTTGGGGGTTTAGAAGATCTCAAAAATCTGGAGGATTTTTGAGACCTCCAGATTTTTGAGACCTCCTAAATTCCCCAAAAATAAATAAATAAAAAGAAATCGGGAAAAAATTCTATGGACGTGTGTATTTTAGCATTTATTTCATTTAATATTTCAGGATAGAGTAATGATTAAGAAACAAAATTTGGCATGATAGCTTGTGTATTGGTGCATTGGTGCATTGGTGCTATTAAATTTTGGATGTTAAAGGTCGAGGGATGGGAAAAGACAGGAGTCACGTGTCACATCTCGAGATGAGTCGGACTTAATTAAAATTTCACTCGTTATTAGCATTTACAATTTTTTAAAACCCATCCCTACCCTCAAAATTAAGCTTCTTGCTATTTTATAATTTAATTAATAATATAAAACGTTATTATAACAAAATATCATAACAGATGGCACCACACAATTTCAATTTTTTGTTAGTGAATTTTTTTCTCCGCGGAAAGTTACGCAACTCGTTGCTGGATTTCTTTTAATAATAAAATTTAAACTTAATATTGCGAATTCGGTATGAAAATTGTTTAGGGTTTCTTATCTGTAATGTGCACAGAGGAAAAAAGATGAAAAAAATTTTCTATCTTCTATATTTCAGTTCTGAGATGCTGTTGGCGTCCTCTAACCATGGGGGTCTGAGTAGGCGCTTACTTATGCCCAGAGCGGACATGATCGTCCACTTAAAATATTTATAATGGATTATACAAATTAAATTCTTTATTTTAAAATTTATTCCATTTTGCATTCCTATTTCGGATTTGTCCAGATCCAAAAGTGGAGAACCGAATAGTGAAGGATAACGCCCGACATATCTGGGTCAATTTATTCTTGAAAACTTCGGTGTTTATCTAAATTCGAAGAAGTTTACACTTTAATCATCCATCTAATTAAATCGTAAACTCATATAAGGCGTTAGCACACTGCTCTGAGAAATCCGGAATTGAATCACTGCAGTCAAAATATCTCACACTGCATAATATATATATATTCGATACAAATGGTAAATCCTGCAAGAATTTGCCATTTGTATCGAATACCATGAATCCTGAAGGAATGTTGACAGTACAGATTAGAGAATCTCTCTAATATGTGATGCCAACATTCCTTCCACATCTCTTTTTTTTCGTAGGCCGAATAAAATGCTGTGTACAGTAAAATCTATACTGGATATTTTTTTTCCGGTTTAGCAGGTTACATTTTATTCAGGTACCGTTTTAGTCAGGTTTCAGCGTACACTGTGTAATTTAGATAAATATTTTAACTTTAACATATCCAGAAGAAAAAAATACTTATAAAACCCAGAACCGGACAATTAATTACCGCACAAATGTGGGATTCCAACTGCACTATTCAAAATCCCCAATATACATTTTGTGTCCAGCTGCAGGTTAGAGTATGCACTGGTTCAAGAATTTGTCCTTGAATGGCTTTGGAGGCTAACAATGTGTATATACAGTACTGTATATGCTTGTACAGTACATTTTCAATAAGTAAACTCTTGCATCTGTGATCTAATGGTCTAATGACTCTAATCGGTTCTTGGGGAAAGAGATATTTTATTATATTATTTGATTTTTTTCATTATGTTAAATTTCAGGATGGCCTTAGAAAAAAAATTACCTATTCTGAGGACAGATTTTAATATTTTGGATAAAGAATTTGATTCAAATCGCGAAAAATTTGAAAATGAAATTAAAAAGATGGAAGATGAAATGAATCGTTTTAGAATTCAGATCGCATCACGTGAAGATGAAATTTTTGGAGGAAAGCACGATACAAAAGAGAAGGGTGCAACTAGTGGACAACCAATAGATGACACAACTGATGAAATACAAAGAATGGATAATCGTACATGGTTGGATGCTATGAATTCTCCATCCGCTCATCCTGGCAGACTTCTAAAACTGAAATTTGATTTGCATGAATATAAGCTTGAAGAAATCACAGTCAAAACTGTATACAATAAGTTGCAGGTAGGTTTGATAAGTATTATACACTGTATATATAAATTATTTATGATTCGTACAGAGTTATGTACACTTTGTTGATGCACAGAAGAGAGAGTTTTTTCTCTTTTTCTTTCCACCCTGTGAGCACTAAGAGGGCCTCTTTTAGCAAGTCCATTATGGATTCGATCAGGCCCACAATGGAGCGGCCAGGTGACGAGGGACGGAGTCCGATATAACCCGACGGACCAAGCGTTCGGATTCAATTCCGGGTACCCCAAATGGTAGGCTGCCACTTTGACTGCTCCATTCGGCCGAAGAGAGGGACTATGAATGCTTGAGATCTTTTTGGACTGACCAGTCATATTTTATGTTCGATGGAAGTCACAAAAAAAGGTAAAATACGACTCGTTCTCCATAATAACGTCCAGTCTACTTGAAGCTTTGAATTTACGCGCATTTTTGCAGTGGCGTCATTTACAATTTGAATTGTATTTTTGTATATTTTTGAACTGACTATCGCTTCCGAAGAACATTTTGCTCGACTAGAATGTTTTTAATATACTGGTGAGAGATTTTGAACTTTCAAGTTTTTTAAATGACTGTCCAACACATGTCTTTTCTTTCTTTTGTTATCTGTCATTCTAATTCTCTTTTACCCATTCCCTGGACATCTAGCAACAGTGGATAACTGGATATCTACCATTTTCCAGTGTTTATACGATGCTGTAAACTATCCTTCTTGCCATCTCCATCTACAAAATGCTTAACTGTGAAGTTTCTCCTCCTTTTCTCGTGTTATTCAATTACGGTTCTTTTTTGCTCTTCATTAAGCTGGCTTCATTTTGCTTACGTTTGAAATATTTCTGCCATGACACCATGAATTTAAATCTACGGAGTCCTCGGAAGAATCTACGTTAGTTCGTTCTCAAATTTATTTTTCAAAAATACCAACTATGCCTGCTAAAACTGTGCATATTTCTATAGATAATTTCAATTAAAATTACTAAAACATTTACTTATTTTCCTATTAATTAGGAAAATAAGTAAATGTAATTTATTATTTTCCTATTAACTTATTTCCGAAATCCTTCAAATCAAATGTTATATCTTGTTTTCCAAACTACCATGTATTGTTTTAGTATCGATTCTTTACAATAAGGATGGATAAATAAGGAATGCTTGACAGGGTTTTCTATGAGAAACTAGCCCTCATTTAGATGTTAGACGTGAAGAACTCAGGAAAAATTCACGTGACCAGCCATTGGCGAAGCATAAACCCGTGACCAACTAGAAATGTTCAGTGGTTTTATCCACTCGGTCACTGGTGGGCTTCTAAAAAACCAAGTTTTTTGGATATAAAAAGCCTATATATATGCAGGGTGTAACTAAACAAATTCCCTACTTAAAAGTTTTTGTAGACAAACCGCTAAAGATGCAACAATGACATGAGATCATATAAGTCCGAAAATTCTTGGTGATACAATTTCAGCACACAAATTATCGGCCTCATGGAACAGGATATGACTTTTGTGACAAATTGGTCTTTAGTAATGAGGCAACCTTATTTCTGAACGGATTGATATTAAGAACAGAATGAAACAGACACAATATGTGGATTTGGGGAACGGAAAACTCTTATACTTATGTGGGGCACATTCATGATTCTCCGAAAATTAATGCTTTCTGTACACTTTCAAAATTCAGGATATATGGACCTTTCTTCTTTTTTGAAATCACAGTGATGGATATCACCTACTTGTACGTGGTAGAACAATGGCTGATGCCACAGCTGGAGAGTGACATATCCTGTTTCATTTATCAGCAAGAGGACCTACCTCACTGCCTTTTGGAAGGTTCTTAACACGCAATTACTAAATATGGATTAGTCGTTTGGAGTACGGCAATCAACAAATCTTGTCCTGACCTCCGCAATTTTCCGATTTAACGCCATGCGACTTCTACGGCTGGGGATATGTGAAGGATTATGTCTTTGTGCCACCACTGTCGACAAATCTGGCAGAATATGTGAGCTCGTATTATCGCAGCAATTAATAGGAGTACACTGCACCATATGTGGGATGAACTGGACTACCGAGTTGATGTCTGCGGAGTAAGGAGGGACTTATATCGAGCATTTATAGGATATGTAATAAACTTTGAAAGGGTGCCTCTATATCTGTGTATGTATCATTATCCTATGTTTAGCATATTGTAGGTAGCACTTTTTCGACTTCGGGCTTATCATTTAGCAGTGGCTTGCCGTCATTGGAAGTGATCGATGCGCCGCTTCCCTTGTATTTTCTAAAAAATAAATACATATTAATTTTAATTATATGAAAATAATCGCACAATATTTTATTATAACCGCATTATGTATCTTATTACAAATTTTTATACTACACGTGAAAAAAATAAGATTGCTATTGTGTATTCGAATATTAGTGGCGGAGTGGAAGCGCTGTATTGTCAGCATCCAAAAAGCCAGATTCGCGCACGCACTTTACAGAGCACCAACCTCACCCGGTTTAGACGGTGGAAGCCTAGGACCTCGGGTGGATGCTACACGTATACCGCATCCAATTCTATCCAGGACCGGTTCCGGGCTGTTAGCCGCCCGCCCGCTAGATATTTGGCCGCCCTCGCCCGATTACGCGAATCGCGAGTAGATTTATAACTTAACCCAACCGATAAGAATTTACTGGTATGTTTTTACGATAGTTCTGTATATGTAGTTGACAGGAGTTAAAAAATCCATTAAAATATTTGATATATTTATTCCGCTTTCCGATTTTATATTACTCACGGATTTCAATGTTAAACCAGTGATATTACGATTTCGTATATCCCATGTCTAAGGGGAGGTAGAAAAAAAACGTGTACAATTCTTGTATAATGTTAAAAAATTAACTATTACTTTGACAGCGTCATTTACAACTAAATTTAATAAATGAGAGAGATGCACGAGGTACAGAAAAAGCTCTAGAATTTATTTTCCTTAAATTTACGATTTATGTATCCGTTTGTCATAAAAATTTGTCTTTCCACTTTTTNAAAATATTAAGATTTAAGATCTGAGAGTCTCTTGTGCCTTTTGTCATGAAAACCCCCTAAAGAGACCTGAAATTCCCTCCAAAACTAACAGAGTTTCCCTAAATATTTTTGGTTCTAGGTGCAATGCATATATACATGACAGACCACCACCTGAAAAATTCCTGGGGCTTTTTCGATTCATCCGAATTCGATCCCGAGTCTCTCAAAATGGTAGGCTGCCATCTTAACCGATCTGTATTTTTTTTTTAAAACATCTTATTACGATGGCACTTTTTCCATCTTACTCGTGTATATTGGCACATTAATCGGAAATTAATTACAATTAACGACTGTAACAGACTACGAAAAGGTTTGTACATTAAGATTTTGTATTCTTTTGTAATCTTAAAGATCTGTAGACTTCATACAACTAAAGTGTGAATGCAATAAAACTCTTTTTGCAAAATAATGTAGTTTTTACAGGTACCGTCACGAATGAGTCGAGATTATACGAAGTGTTGAAAACCTGAAAATGCAGTTATGGAATACCTTAAAAGTAAATTCAGCCTCCATTATTGTTCCGAAGTAATGTTAAAAAACTTAACCGGGTTAAATTTAAAGGTTCCAATAAATACGCAAAAACATTTAATTTCACAATCGAACATTAGAAACTGACTGTTGGGACTCATTCTTCGACTAATCAAGTCAAAATTCGTTTTTGAACAGCGACTAACAATACAATCGAACAATATCGCGTTGCCGTTTTTTTCTTCTTTTTTTTCTGAATGGCTCGTTTGATGTATCGGCTCTGTCTTTAAAAGGTTATAAGTGAATAAATTGTTATTTTTATGACTAGTCCTTCTATATTCGCAAAATTTTACGTTTTGCGGCGTGGGCAAAAGTATCATGTGATGAAGGAACCTGCTTTGGATCTCCCCGGGAGTGAAGTCGTGAGTTATGTGACTTTTGAAAAGTCTTACTCTTCGCTGAACCTCACTAAACGTGGGCAGACTTTACATTGCCCCCTTATCAGAGGAAATCAGCAAGTATAGGAAAACCTGAGTTGACATCACTGAGATGCATACAGATATACAGAGTGGTTATAATTAAAGTTGCCATACTCAGACCTGTATAGAGCCCGTTCTCTTTGATGTATTTTGATGAAACTTGGTATATACATTATATGGACCATGGGGAAAAGGAAAATGCAAAAAAAATAATTAGTTCAAATTTCTACCACTAGGTGAAAAAATGGCGCATGAAGAACAAGAAACACGAAATTGAAACACGCAAAACGTTTGAGTTCGTATGCCTCCTCTATAGACACGATCTTTCAGATATCCCGACAACCATACGGAGTCTGCCTGAATTGAAAGCCATTTGCTGCAATTTTTCAAGAAACCTATCGGCCTACTGTTGAACACGCTGTAAGGTGCTTTGAACATGTGATTGACACAAATGGATTGCACATTGAACAAATGTCATGAATAAAAACCTTTTGCGTGTTTCCATTTTGTATTTCTTGCTCTTCATGCGCCATTTTTCACCTAGTGGTAGAAATTTGAACTAATTATTTTTTTTTGCATTTTCCTTTTCCCCATGGTCCATATAATGTATATACCAGGTTTCATCAAACTACATCATCAAAAAGAACGGACTCTATATAGTTCTGAGAAGGGTACTTTAATTATAACCACCCTGTATATCAACAGCCAACACAACCAATCAATTTTATGCCGTTTCCATTCATCTCTTATCATTTCACGAACAGATTAGTGATAATTAACACATGAAACTTATCCAATATACGAGTACATCAAGAATATGGCCGATTCTTTCTTCCAAAACATTTTAAAATTAAATTGATGTAATTAATTAATTTATAATTATTTAACAGGATTATTTCCTAATATATTCTGATTGGCAGTAACATCCTGGTTTGCAATTTTTTGCGCAGGATATAGGTGTTGGAATTTCACAAGTTGGAATACAAAGAGGTCCACAATCTAGCCAAATTTCATTTTCTTGTTTACATCGTTTCCGATTACTTGGTGGCTTAACTGCAATAAAATCAATATATGGAAAATTCCAATTAAATTAACAAAATTAACGTAGAGCCACGTTTTGCAATTTGTTTTCAATTGGAAATGCCATTTTTTGATCAGTGAATTAATTTCTTAAAATATTAAAAATTTAACTTACTTATATTTCGACAAATTGCATAAGGTACACATTCCTTATCTTTTCTTACAAATCCATCTTTACACTTGCAGCCCATTTTACAATTACTGTCATTACAAATTGGTTTAGGGTTATTGCAAGTTGATTCACAGCCACATGTCATATATATTTCAAAATCACTTCCGCAATCAACTCCAATAACTAAAGATTTTAAAGCGATTATTAGAAACATGATGGATGATGGATAAATTAAAGAATACGTACTTACTCTCGTTTTTGCATTGGGTATGATGAACACAAACACCTTTTTCATTTCTAACTAAACCATCCGTGCATATGCAACCCGTATAACACGAGATTGGACAGTTTATCGGTTTCTTGTAATTCTCACAAGTTTTTGGGCATACCTCTTTGCACTGAACATATTCTTCTCCGGGGATCTTGCATTCGTTTTCTGTAATTATTTATTTATATTTTTAATATGCTTTTTAAATATATAATTTAATATTAAGATTTAAGATCTGAGAGTCTCTTGTGCCTTTTGTCATGAAAACCCCCTAAAGAGACCTGAAATTCCCTCCAAAACTAACAGAGTTTCCCTAAATATTTTTGGTTCTAGGTGCAATGCATATATACATGACAGACCACCACCTGAAAAATTCCTGGGGCTTTTTCGATTCATCCGAATTCGATCCCGAGTCTCTCAAAATGGTAGGCTGCCATCTTAACCGATCTGTATTTTTTTTTTAAAACATCTTATTACGATGGCACTTTTTCCATCTTACTCGTGTATATTGGCACATTAATCGGAAATTAATTACAATTAACGACTGTAACAGACTACGAAAAGGTTTGTACATTAAGATTTTGTATTCTTTTGTAATCTTAAAGATCTGTAGACTTCATACAACTAAAGTGTGAATGCAATAAAACTCTTTTTGCAAAATAATGTAGTTTTTACAGGTACCGTCACGAATGAGTCGAGATTATACGAAGTGTTGAAAACCTGAAAATGCAGTTATGGAATACCTTAAAAGTAAATTCAGCCTCCATTATTGTTCCGAAGTAATGTTAAAAAACTTAACCGGGTTAAATTTAAAGGTTCCAATAAATACGCAAAAACATTTAATTTCACAATCGAACATTAGAAACTGACTGTTGGGACTCATTCTTCGACTAATCAAGTCAAAATTCGTTTTTGAACAGCGACTAACAATACAATCGAACAATATCGCGTTGCCGTTTTTTTCTTCTTTTTTTTTCTGAATGGCTCGTTTGATGTATCGGCTCTGTCTTTAAAAGGTTATAAGTGAATAAATTGTTATTTTTATGACTAGTCCTTCTATATTCGCAAAATTTTACGTTTTGCGGCGTGGGCAAAAGTATCATGTGATGAAGGAACCTGCTTTGGATCTCCCCGGGAGTGAAGTCGTGAGTTATGTGACTTTTGAAAAGTCTTACTCTTCGCTGAACCTCACTAAACGTGGGCAGACTTTACATTGCCCCCTTATCAGAGGAAATCAGCAAGTATAGGAAAACCTGAGTTGACATCACTGAGATGCATACAGATATACAGAGTGGTTATAATTAAAGTTGCCATACTCAGACCTGTATAGAGCCCGTTCTCTTTGATGTATTTTGATGAAACTTGGTATATACATTATATGGACCATGGGGAAAAGGAAAATGCAAAAAAAATAATTAGTTCAAATTTCTACCACTAGGTGAAAAAATGGCGCATGAAGAACAAGAAACACGAAATTGAAACACGCAAAACGTTTGAGTTCGTATGCCTCCTCTATAGACACGATCTTTCAGATATCCCGACAACCATACGGAGTCTGCCTGAATTGAAAGCCATTTGCTGCAATTTTTCAAGAAACCTATCGGCCTACTGTTGAACACGCTGTAAGGTGCTTTGAACATGTGATTGACACAAATGGATTGCACATTGAACAAATGTCATGAATAAAAACCTTTTGCGTGTTTCCATTTTGTATTTCTTGCTCTTCATGCGCCATTTTTCACCTAGTGGTAGAAATTTGAACTAATTATTTTTTTTTGCATTTTCCTTTTCCCCATGGTCCATATAATGTATATACCAGGTTTCATCAAACTACATCATCAAAAAGAACGGACTCTATATAGTTCTGAGAAGGGTACTTTAATTATAACCACCCTGTATATCAACAGCCAACACAACCAATCAATTTTATGCCGTTTCCATTCATCTCTTATCATTTCACGAACAGATTAGTGATAATTAACACATGAAACTTATCCAATATACGAGTACATCAAGAATATGGCCNTGTATACAAAATTCTTTTCAAAAATTATTAATTACAGCAGTAAAGAAGAATTCAATTTCAAAATTGTAATACAGTATTTTATTTTCTGAGTAGAAATTACATGTAAAATTTTCATAAATCAAAATTCTTCAAAGTGCAAATACAGCTACATATATTCAATTTATAAAAGCAATATAAAAATTATAATTAAAAACTTTTATAAAGTAAATTAAATATCAAATTGTGATTAACATATTTGGTCTTGAATAAATTATTTTCGGAAATTTATTTCTTTTTTATTCACAGAGAAAAACAAGATAATCATAATTTGATTATTTCCCTTTTTGACCTGTAAAATAATATGATTTTAGAAATTTGATAATATCCCAAAATTATGAAATTCGAACATAAATATTACCATTGGTGCAATCTGAGGGAAGGACGCATAACCCATAGTTGTTCCTAATATATTCTGATTGGCAGTAACATCCTGGTTTGCAATTTTTTGCGCAGGATATAGGTGTTGGAATTTCACAAGTTGGAATACAAAGAGGTCCACAATCTAGCCAAATTTCATTTTCTTGTTTACATCGTTTCCGATTACTTGGTGGCTTAACTGCAATAAAATCAATATATGGAAAATTCCAATTAAATTAACAAAATTAACGTAGAGCCACGTTTTGCAATTTGTTTTCAATTGGAAATGCCATTTTTTGATCAGTGAATTAATTTCTTAAAATATTAAAAATTTAACTTACTTATATTTCGACAAATTGCATAAGGTACACATTCCTTATCTTTTCTTACAAATCCATCTTTACACTTGCAGCCCATTTTACAATTACTGTCATTACAAATTGGTTTAGGGTTATTGCAAGTTGATTCACAGCCACATGTCATATATATTTCAAAATCACTTCCGCAATCAACTCCAATAACTAAAGATTTTAAAGCGATTATTAGAAACATGATGGATGATGGATAAATTAAAGAATACGTACTTACTCTCGTTTTTGCATTGGGTATGATGAACACAAACACCTTTTTCATTTCTAACTAAACCATCCGTGCATATGCAACCCGTATAACACGAGATTGGACAGTTTATCGGTTTCTTGTAATTCTCACAAGTTTTTGGGCATACCTCTTTGCACTGAACATATTCTTCTCCGGGGATCTTGCATTCGTTTTCTGTAATTATTTATTTATATTTTTAATATGCTTTTTAAATATATAATTTAATATTAAGATTTAAGATCTGAGAGTCTCTTGTGCCTTTTGTCATGAAAACCCCCTAAAGAGACCTGAAATTCCCTCCAAAACTAACAGAGTTTCCCTAAATATTTTTGGTTCTAGGTGCAATGCATATATACATGACAGACCACCACCTGAAAAATTCCTGGGGCTTTTTCGATTCATCCGAATTCGATCCCGAGTCTCTCAAAATGGTAGGCTGCCATCTTAACCGATCTGTATTTTTTTTTTAAAACATCTTATTACGATGGCACTTTTTCCATCTTACTCGTGTATATTGGCACATTAATCGGAAATTAATTACAATTAACGACTGTAACAGACTACGAAAAGGTTTGTACATTAAGATTTTGTATTCTTTTGTAATCTTAAAGATCTGTAGACTTCATACAACTAAAGTGTGAATGCAATAAAACTCTTTTTGCAAAATAATGTAGTTTTTACAGGTACCGTCACGAATGAGTCGAGATTATACGAAGTGTTGAAAACCTGAAAATGCAGTTATGGAATACCTTAAAAGTAAATTCAGCCTCCATTATTGTTCCGAAGTAATGTTAAAAAACTTAACCGGGTTAAATTTAAAGGTTCCAATAAATACGCAAAAACATTTAATTTCACAATCGAACATTAGAAACTGACTGTTGGGACTCATTCTTCGACTAATCAAGTCAAAATTCGTTTTTGAACAGCGACTAACAATACAATCGAACAATATCGCGTTGCCGTTTTTTTCTTCTTTTTTTTTCTGAATGGCTCGTTTGATGTATCGGCTCTGTCTTTAAAAGGTTATAAGTGAATAAATTGTTATTTTTATGACTAGTCCTTCTATATTCGCAAAATTTTACGTTTTGCGGCGTGGGCAAAAGTATCATGTGATGAAGGAACCTGCTTTGGATCTCCCCGGGAGTGAAGTCGTGAGTTATGTGACTTTTGAAAAGTCTTACTCTTCGCTGAACCTCACTAAACGTGGGCAGACTTTACATTGCCCCCTTATCAGAGGAAATCAGCAAGTATAGGAAAACCTGAGTTGACATCACTGAGATGCATACAGATATACAGAGTGGTTATAATTAAAGTTGCCATACTCAGACCTGTATAGAGCCCGTTCTCTTTGATGTATTTTGATGAAACTTGGTATATACATTATATGGACCATGGGGAAAAGGAAAATGCAAAAAAAATAATTAGTTCAAATTTCTACCACTAGGTGAAAAAATGGCGCATGAAGAACAAGAAACACGAAATTGAAACACGCAAAACGTTTGAGTTCGTATGCCTCCTCTATAGACACGATCTTTCAGATATCCCGACAACCATACGGAGTCTGCCTGAATTGAAAGCCATTTGCTGCAATTTTTCAAGAAACCTATCGGCCTACTGTTGAACACGCTGTAAGGTGCTTTGAACATGTGATTGACACAAATGGATTGCACATTGAACAAATGTCATGAATAAAAACCTTTTGCGTGTTTCCATTTTGTATTTCTTGCTCTTCATGCGCCATTTTTCACCTAGTGGTAGAAATTTGAACTAATTATTTTTTTTTGCATTTTCCTTTTCCCCATGGTCCATATAATGTATATACCAGGTTTCATCAAACTACATCATCAAAAAGAACGGACTCTATATAGTTCTGAGAAGGGTACTTTAATTATAACCACCCTGTATATCAACAGCCAACACAACCAATCAATTTTATGCCGTTTCCATTCATCTCTTATCATTTCACGAACAGATTAGTGATAATTAACACATGAAACTTATCCAATATACGAGTACATCGAGAATATGGCCGATTCTTTCTTCCAAAACATTTTAAAATTAAATTGATGTAATTAATTAATTTATAATTATTTAACAGGATTATTTAAAATATAACAATAATTATTTATATTTTATTTAACAAGAGATGGCAGTCTGGAGCCTATCTCCTGCCAAATTTCTTATAGTCAAATAACAGATCCTTCTTTTCGTTTGATACTTGAAATATGTAATGTTAAAACAATAATTTAATTAAATATAAAAAATTCGATGAAACGAAAAAACTTAAAAATATTTTATATTGTTCTATTATTATTAATGTACTATTAATTTTCAAATAATTTAAATTTTAATTGCTTAAACAGAATATTTTAATTAATATATTTGCCTACTTACTTGGACTAGGCTTTTGTATAAAATCTGGATAACAATATCCCAATTTATCTCTAATTAAGCCTGGCTCACAGTAACATCCTGGAACGCATAATTCAGGACATTTAACATGCTCATAGCATGGATCAGGACAAGGATTTTCACACTCTAAATATATTTCTCCAGGCAGTTTACAAATTTTTTCTAAATAAAATTTCACTTTCAATATCAATAAATAAAAATAAATAACATTTAAAAACTTATAGTTTATATAAATACTTAATTTAACTATTTTTATTAGGTTTGCAATTTTTTGCGCAGGATATAGGTGTTGGAATTTCACAAGTTGGAATACAAAGAGGTCCACAATCTAGCCAAATTTCATTTTCTTGTTTACATCGTTTCCGATTACTTGGTGGCTTAACTGCAATAAAATCAATATATGGAAAATTCCAATTAANATTCAGAGCTTCTTTATGTAAATATATATTTCATAAGTTTCCAGTATTGTTTAATCAAATATTGTCAATGTATTCATTTTACAATGATCAAATTTGAAACTTTTGTAACAGTAAACATTAAATAAGTTAGACTTGCAAAAATATTTACATTTGTAAAATAATAAGTTATTTTATTTTGCAATCCAACAATACTTTTTTGATTAAATCATTTTTTAATTGCAGAAAAGCATAGCAAATGAAATGGATTGAAGACATAGAATTATGTCACTGTTACTTTCTTCAATCCTTAAAGAAAATGCTTCAAGTGCTGGATGGTCAAACAAGAAATTTTAGGAACTAATTGTGTAGGTTGGCAGAATCTTATCACTGATTCAAGTCTTTAGAAAGCCCTTTCAGTCAGACAAGGAAAGTGCTTTTTCCACCCCAATGGGGCATTATCAATTTAAAGGGCTCCCAATGGAACTTTGTAACAATCTTGACTTTTTCAACAATTTGCCGATTTAATATTGTGGCTTAATTTGTGTTTGGAATATGAATGAGAAATTAATTTGTCGTCATAAAAGGAAAAGTTTATTGAAAAACATTAAAAAATCATATTTATATTACTCGAATTAAAGAATAAAATTTGCCTCGTATACATGAACTATATAATGGTCTTTCATTCCAACTTCAAAACACAGAATAATAAACCTTAGAGTAAGAGTAATAAAGGCTTAGTGATTAGAAAATTTTCCAAAAATATTTTATTATTAAAATTTTTAATTTATATTGTGTCATGCCTTCTATTTATACACTTCTTATTAATTTGCATCACTAATTATTAATAAATCAGGCTTAGTGATGCTTATATATACACTTTTAGAGTATTTGAATCCCTGAATTAGTGTAGTTGAGGTGACAAATAATGATCTACTGTATTTTTCTATATATTCCTATCAAGACCAGACAAAACTTGGGAATTTTTAGATTGCAAGTATATTTAATTTTTTTTAAATTTTTTATTGTAAAAATTATTTTAGAAGTGTAACTTTAATTTTTGGTTTATAGTACAGCGGTGCCTCGTATAACGGACGCTGCGAACAACGGACTTTCCGTTCTACAGTTACGTGAGGCAAACAACAGTCTTTCTGCGAACATATGTGAATGATGTTTCCTTCTTACCTTTTTGTTGAGAAAAAACAAGAACAAATGTAGACAATAACACCAAAATGATCTGCATGGTTTTGAAATGATTGCTTTTCAAGACTTGAATTTAACAATTATTTTTAATAAAAATTCAAATGAACAGTTTTATAAATATTATTGTATTTAAAATGTTGTATTACATTTGATATTATTATTGTTTTAACTAAAAATATAAGTGTGAAATTGTAGCATAGGCCTGTATCATTTATTTTACAATGTCGATTATCACGTTCTATCACTGGTAGGTATACCTATAAATAAAGGTATTATTTACCTTCATTTATTACCAAATTTTATCATTTGAAAAATATATTACAATATTTTAACGTTCTTTCGTTTTTTACGTACTGTCCTGGGAGCAAGGCCGTGCACACAGGAGTTTGGGAGTTTAACCCTATTTGAAAATGCATAAAAATTTAAATAAAAAAATAATACAAAAATACGAAATGTATTAAATTAATTAGAATCTGTTAACAATGTTACTGGATAGAAAAATAATTTAATAGAAAAACAGAAGGGCTCGGTGGAAACTAGTGGATTTCGATATGACGTTAGAGGAGTTTTTTGATCATGTGACTATTTTCTTTCCACGATGTGGTGATGATGATGTCACTCATAACGTAGTTCTAAAGAACCAATGAACATTTCGCCTACCCATGCATAGTATTGCTTGACAGTTTGTAAAATGGCGACGATCAGCTACGATTCGTTGTGTTGGCTTTCGGCTGTTTCCATTTGTTGCCTATTTGGCAGAAATTTAATAAGTAAACGAAAATAAATACGGGGACCCGATATAGAATGGATTTGCAGTCTTGATATGTTCATAACTTTTATAATTTCAATAAAACCAATGAAATTATTTATGTTTTTAATCTAAGAAAATCTGTAAAACAGCTTTCTGTGATCTTTGTCTCGTTTCGGCATAAACAGACTTTGTTTATGGCCTACAGAGCACTTAACCTTCAAATAAGCATGAATGTTCCCAATCATTACCTGAAAAAGCCATATGTTGGACATGAGAGTTGTTGAACGAACACCCTACCCTACCTTCTGTCAAAGAGTATAGCATAGTGATATTGAGTCAATGATTGAACCTGCGACGATCAAATTTCGTTAGATATCATCTCTGACCAGTTTGCACTGAGCTTTATGGTTAGTAGATGGTCGTAGATTTGCCTCTCACCAATGTGAAGTTTACCGTGTTTTCTTCACATATCTAATACTTAGAGTCCATTTTTTCATAAAAGTCGGAGGGTAAGGCATCAATGGCACAAATTATAAAATGTAATTCATTTGAAACCATTTTTTTCCTTTTTCCGAGAAATGTATTAGCATCCCTCCTTGGCTGATTGCCCATGTGTTGCACAGCCATATTCCTATAATTCTACAGTTAGAAATAGGCAGGTTAACAAGCAAAAAATGTTCTTTAAAACCTCGCCTCTTTACAAACCCTGTACCCTGGTCTGCTGCAGATCCTCAAAAAGAGAAGTGATCTCAAGCTTTTTCTCGATCTCTAAAAAGCCTTATTGATCTTAGAATTATAATAAACTATTTATATTTATAACAACAGTAGAGTCATGGAAACTTGACATCCCGTAAAACTCTTCATGTGTATATGTATGTATATATATATATATATATTTTGAATATGTAATCTAATTTTCAGTTCTATAACTTAACACNTAAATAAAATTTCACTTTCAATATCAATAAATAAAAATAAATAACATTTAAAAACTTATAGTTTATATAAATACTTAATTTAACTATTTTTATTAACGTTGAAATCTATGTTTAAAATACAAACATGTGCGATTGTCTATAGATCTAACTCTACTCAAGTATAAAAATATTTTTATTATACATTAAAAATGATGCTGAATAATAAATTTTAATATAATAAATTAACCTACAAATAACTTATCTTCTCGATGACGCCATTGAATTTAATAACTATTAAACAACGAGCTAGAATATACTACATAGAATGGCTGTGACTATGTTATGACTAAAAGTAAAATGGCGGTCGACATAATTTCTCTATCACAAATACTAATAAAATTATAAATTTTTAAAATTGCACACGGACTTTATGGATATATATCTCATCCAAAATAGTCTTTTGATTCTTCTCCATTCTTTACATTTATTTATAGCTAAAAGTATCAGATATTGATCGTTGATTTACATTTTATGTTAATAGGAGCTGTAAAGAATCATATAATATCAGATTGTAAACAGCTCAGTTATAAAGAGAAATTAAAAAAATTAAAATATTATATACTGTGTGCCAATAATAAGCGACTTACGTGCATTGATCTGACTACATTGTGTTTTCTCTATACATGCATCGTTAATATTTCTGACATAACCTTGTTTGCAGTAGCATCCCATTGAACATGTTTTGCATCCTGTAGAATTATCTTCACAACTGTGATCGCAACCGCAGATCATAAACTCTTCATTTGGATCGTCGCACTGATTCTGTACTGAATAATTAAATATGAATTAATTTATAAACATTTTGAAACTATCGTTTTACAATCATAGTGTTTAATGTATAATTATTATAATTATACATTATTACAATAGAGTGTTTTATGACCTTTTCCTTTGTGACCTTGCTTTTATGAACTGTATAAGTTCTTAACTATGGCTGTATACATATATTTTTATTAAACATTTCTGTATGATAGGGCTAATTAAAATTTTAATTCCAGAAATGTAATCCCAATTAACAGTATAACAATCGGTATATGTGAATTAGTAAGGTTAGCTTTACTGCTGTTTCCAAGAACAAATAAGGTTATAAAATAAGTTCTATTCTATACAAGTTATCCTAAATACCTGATAATTAAAATAAAAAAAAATAATTATTTGAAACGTGTATAAGGGTGGCACTATCAGTGGTTTTATCCGCTCAGCCATTGACGAACTCATTCACAAAGGAAAAAATCAAGCTCCGAAAGAAACTGAATTTGGATACTGGTAGCATTGATTTCAGATAAATTTTCAAACATTGAACTAATCAAACTTTTCGTTAATTAATTAATTATATAATTAACTTTAATATAATTTTATAAAATAACTGATAATAAATAAAATTTTCTTACCTTTTTGTTGAGAAAAAACAAGAACAAATGTAGACAATAACACCAAAATGATCTGCATGGTTTTGAAATGATTGCTTTTCAAGACTTGAATTTAACAATTATTTTTAATAAAAATTCAAATGAACAGTTTTATAAATATTATTGTATTTAAAATGTTGTATTACATTTGATATTATTATTGTTTTAACTAAAAATATAAGTGTGAAATTGTAGCATAGGCCTGTATCATTTATTTTACAATGTCGATTATCACGTTCTATCACTGGTAGGTATACCTATAAATAAAGGTATTATTTACCTTCATTTATTACCAAATTTTATCATTTGAAAAATATATTACAATATTTTAACGTTCTTTCGTTTTTTACGTACTGTCCTGGGAGCAAGGCCGTGCACACAGGAGTTTGGGAGTTTAACCCTATTTGAAAATGCATAAAAATTTAAATAAAAAAATAATACAAAAATACGAAATGTATTAAATTAATTAGAATCTGTTAACAATGTTACTGGATAGAAAAATAATTTAATAGAAAAACAGAAGGGCTCGGTGGAAACTAGTGGATTTCGATATGACGTTAGAGGAGTTTTTTGATCATGTGACTATTTTCTTTCCACGATGTGGTGATGATGATGTCACTCATAACGTAGTTCTAAAGAACCAATGAACATTTCGCCTACCCATGCATAGTATTGCTTGACAGTTTGTAAAATGGCGACGATCAGCTACGATTCGTTGTGTTGGCTTTCGGCTGTTTCCATTTGTTGCCTATTTGGCAGAAATTTAATAAGTAAACGAAAATAAATACGGGGACCCGATATAGAATGGATTTGCAGTCTTGATATGTTCATAACTTTTATAATTTCAATAAAACCAATGAAATTATTTATGTTTTTAATCTAAGAAAATCTGTAAAACAGCTTTCTGTGATCTTTGTCTCGTTTCGGCATAAACAGACTTTGTTTATGGCCTACAGAGCACTTAACCTTCAAATAAGCATGAATGTTCCCAATCATTACCTGAAAAAGCCATATGTTGGACATGAGAGTTGTTGAACGAACACCCTACCCTACCTTCTGTCAAAGAGTATAGCATAGTGATATTGAGTCAATGATTGAACCTGCGACGATCAAATTTCGTTAGATATCATCTCTGACCAGTTTGCACTGAGCTTTATGGTTAGTAGATGGTCGTAGATTTGCCTCTCACCAATGTGAAGTTTACCGTGTTTTCTTCACATATCTAATACTTAGAGTCCATTTTTTCATAAAAGTCGGAGGGTAAGGCATCAATGGCACAAATTATAAAATGTAATTCATTTGAAACCATTTTTTTCCTTTTTCCGAGAAATGTATTAGCATCCCTCCTTGGCTGATTGCCCATGTGTTGCACAGCCATATTCCTATAATTCTACAGTTAGAAATAGGCAGGTTAACAAGCAAAAAATGTTCTTTAAAACCTCGCCTCTTTACAAACCCTGTACCCTGGTCTGCTGCAGATCCTCAAAAAGAGAAGTGATCTCAAGCTTTTTCTCGATCTCTAAAAAGCCTTATTGATCTTAGAATTATAATAAACTATTTATATTTATAACAACAGTAGAGTCATGGAAACTTGACATCCCGTAAAACTCTTCATGTGTATATGTATGTATATATATATATATATATTTTGAATATGTAATCTAATTTTCAGTTCTATAACTTAACACAAGGATTAACTAAGTTATTATTATTTGCTGGTAGCACTTGATAATAGCATCAATTCCACATGTTAAAGAATATAACTATTTTTTCAAGGTGCCACTACAAAATGCCAGGACTAGAATGTCACTAACTTGAAAGTGGCTATTGAATAGCCAATATTTTAAAACAATTATTATTAGAATTAAAATTAACTAGAAATAGTAATAATCACTATTGGTACATAGTTAATACATATATGAATTTGCTCATATACCTTCATGAAAATTCTTCTATATAATTATAAGTACCCTTGCTAGACCATAAAACTCATCATTTTCAGTAACTGGTCACCTCAGTCTGCATTCAGTACAGTTTGCAGGACTACTGTATAAGGAAATCGGTTTATGTCCTTGTCAAAAACCTTAGGCATTTTTTTATGGACAGTCTGTTCCCTCTAGTCTCTATCAGAAATCACCATTGTAAGCCTGATTGAACTCATTATGGGCTTGGAGAAAAGCTTTCTTAATGGCCAAAGGTTGGAGAGTATTAAAATTTCAAACAAACATTTTAAAATGGCTATGTTAAAAGGAAAGCAAATTAATTAATATTGTTCTTAAACTTATTTAATTGCTTTTCACAGTTTAATGTATCAGCCTAAATAATATTCTTATATAAATTTTCTCAGCATTCTTTATTTTAAAAAATATTAAAATTTTTGAAATATTCAGAGCTTCTTTATGTAAATATATATTTCATAAGTTTCCAGTATTGTTTAATCAAATATTGTCAATGTATTCATTTTACAATGATCAAATTTGAAACTTTTGTAACAGTAAACATTAAATAAGTTAGACTTGCAAAAATATTTACATTTGTAAAATAATAAGTTATTTTATTTTGCAATCCAACAATACTTTTTTGATTAAATCATTTTTTAATTGCAGAAAAGCATAGCAAATGAAATGGATTGAAGACATAGAATTATGTCACTGTTACTTTCTTCAATCCTTAAAGAAAATGCTTCAAGTGCTGGATGGTCAAACAAGAAATTTTAGAACTAATTGTGTAGGTTGGCAGAATCTTATCACTGATTCAAGTCTTTAGAAAGCCCTTTCAGTCAGACAAGGAAAGTGCTTTTTCCACCCCAATGGGGCATTATCAATTTAAAGGGCTCCCAATGGAACTTTGTAACAATCTTGACTTTTTCAACAATTTGCCGATTTAATATTGTGGCTTAATTTGTGTTTGGAATATGAATGAGAAATTAATTTGTCGTCATAAAAGGAAAAGTTTATTGAAAAACATTAAAAAATCATATTTATATTACTCGAATTAAAGAATAAAATTTGCCTCGTATACATGAACTATATAATGGTCTTTCATTCCAACTTCAAAACACAGAATAATAAACCTTAGAGTAAGAGTAATAAAGGCTTAGTGATTAGAAAATTTTCCAAAAATATTTTATTATTAAAATTTTTAATTTATATTGTGTCATGCCTTCTATTTATACACTTCTTATTAATTTGCATCACTAATTATTAATAAATCAGGCTTAGTGATGCTTATATATACACTTTTAGAGTATTTGAATCCCTGAATTAGTGTAGTTGAGGTGACAAATAATGATCTACTGTATTTTTCTATATATTCCTATCAAGACCAGACAAAACTTGGGAATTTTTAGATTGCAAGTATATTTAATTTTTTTTAAATTTTTTATTGTAAAAATTATTTTAGAAGTGTAACTTTAATTTTTGGTTTATAGTACAGCGGTGCCTCGTATAACGGACGCTGCGAACAACGGACTTTCCGTTCTACAGTTACGTGAGGCAAACAACAGTCTTTCTGCGAACATATGTGAATGATGTTTCCATTCTTTTGCCATTGTCAATGACAATCTGCTATTTTTATAATATATTAGTATTATTAGAATATATTATATCTGAAGTACAGAGCTCCCGTTGGGATTCGGCTTGCTCCTTTATTTATTACGTATATCACCTCAGTGCAGGGTATTTACATTTATTCAAGTGTCGTGCAAATCATGGCTTCTAAAAAAACAGAAAGGTGATTTCAATTGAAACAAAGCAAGAAATCATCAGACGGAGTGAAAGTTGACAAAAACTTCCTTGCCAAATGAGGAGAGGTTAATCGGAGTCAGATTCAGGATAGGCTCCGGAGCTTGCAGGGTCATCTCCTCTTGTTCCATCCTTTGTTTTTTGGCAGCTTGCTTCTTGAAAAACATGTCCAAGGTGGTCTGTTTCGCTCTCTTCTTCAACACCTGTCGGAAATGACGGGCAAGGATTCATTGTAGAGATCATTGATCCTGTTGGCCTCAGCTCTGTTTGGATAATGAGTGTTGGTAAACTCATTAAAAAAAGACCTGCAGCAATATGTAAAAAGTCTATCTGTATGAATGTGTAAAGAAAGTGTTCCTCCACCTCCTCCTCACATCATCTGACTACCCGGCATAATTGGTGACTGCTACATTTTCATTTTTTTTATGGTACAGTACGGTTATTTTATGCTGTGGAACGAATTATGTGTTTTAACATGCATTTCTGTGGGGAAATACGTTTCGTATAATGGACTTTTCACTTAATGGATGTACAGTACACCTGGAACGGATTAAGTACGTTATATGAGGCACCACTGTATATCAAGGAGGACCAAACAAGCAATTTGACCAAAATGTATTTTGTAAAAAGTCAAATAAATGGGGAATAAAACACCTTTCCAAATTTAAACTTCTCACTTAGTTGAGTCTTGGTGATCAGTGGCAAATAGAGAAATAACAAATTTGTCATCTCAACTGCACTAATTCAAATATCAATAATTTAAAGAAGCCATCCCTCATAGTTTTACAATAATAACTACTATTGTAAATTAGTGTCTAGCATTTAGTGGGTCACCCAGAGGGGGGAACTAAGCAGAGTGGTGCACCCTCCAAAGAAAAAGGAAAAAATTATAAAATTTTCCAAAAATCTTTTATTATTAAAATTTTTAATTTATATTGCATCATGTTTTCTATTTCTATACTTCTTATGAATTTGCATTTAAATGTTTTTATTGGTCCAACTTTGCTCCTCTATCCTTGGCTTCCTCGGTTTAAATCCTGTGCGCCACTAGTGTCTAGAACTTGCTTTTCAGCAATTAAAGCCCAAAGTGTCAGTTCTTAATTAAGGGTTTTCCTGTATGTGCATAAACAGGTTTCAATGAAATTCACCAAAAATAATTTGTATGAGATTCTTAACATGTATTTGAATTCTTTCGCAAATTTTTAATTAAGTAATGGTTTAAAGGGTAAAAATTAAACTAAAGCGTTCTGTGACTGGAAATATTTTTGAATAAATAAAAACAACAATTTTTAAAAGCAAGAATATTTATTAAAAACAAATAATCATATAAAAATGTAAACATATAACTGAGGAGATCAATTTTTTTTCTATG